CTTTAAAAATGAGTGTCAGTGAACCGAAGTGCACTTTTTCTCATCATTGTCTCACTGAACGTAAAGATATGTTGGATGTTTTATTGGTGAGCTGGTGTAACTTTGTGATGGATCCAGACTTTGATGGATTTTGTCTTTTGTTCTGCAGAAATATCTGACCACAAACATCGAGTTCAGTCGATCAAAGAGCTGGTCAGACAGCTGCCCAAACCCAACCACGACACCATGCAGGCTCTCTTCAAACACCTCAGGAAGTAAGAGCAGCACACCATGTTATTGATTTTTCCCTGATTGATTTTTCCCCTCCTAGGAAAACAAAAGTTAAATATTAAAAAAAATCATATTCAATCATAAGAGGGCTTCATTCTCAACATGAGCAAACTCAAAGGTGTTAGATAATGGAAGAAAATAAAAAAGATTGATCTACTTGATGACTGCTCAGTTAATTAACAAATGAGTACTGAGCACTCTTTGGCTTCCATATTACCTTGCACGGTAAATAACTGACAATGGGTTTATCTATTTTTTCCAGAGTGATTGACTACGGCGAGGAGAACCGTATGACGACCCAGAGCGTCGCCATCGTATTCGGCCCCACGCTGCTGCGGCCTGAAACGGAGACGGTGAACATGGCGGTCCACATGGTGTATCAGAACCAGATTGTAGAGCTTATACTGCTAGAGTATGAGAGCATTTTTGGAAGGTAGATGCCACAGGATGAGCTTCTCTCTCTTTTTTTTTTTTTTTTCTTCTTTTCCTCTCCCAGTGCAGAGCTCTTCCTAACCTAGTGTGGCAGGCCTCGGGTCAACCCGGCCCAGCCTCGCCCTGCCCTGGTCTGGGCCAGCTTATCCTGAACTCTTACCAACCTGGCTTCTCTGGTCGCTGACTTCTCCGATCTTCAAAATCTTAGACCAACAAAGCCAACCGAAAATATACGATGAAAACATCCATAACTATTGACCAAAAAGTTTGGACTCTTTGCACTTTTCAGTCTCGTTTTCTCCCGCAGCTGTATTTGTGCCACTTTACTGCAAAGGTGGCGTCCTTCTGTCCTATCACTGGATTCCTAAAACTATTATTACTTACTAGGCCAAGCAAGCCTGAACTACTGCACAGACTGACGGAGGCCAAAGGAGCAGCAGCAGGTCCAGTAGGCTGTATTTACAGATGAGGCAGCAGTATTGGGGGTTTATGATGCTGGATGCAGCTTGTATGTACTGTACTGTAAATCTCATTACTTGTATAGTCACTCCTGTAAGAACCACACTGAGGAACCAACAGAAGGAAACCAAACTGTGGACTCTTTACCCTCGGACAGAAAAGGTGAAACATGCTGACGCTGGAACAAGAAGAGGAGGGAAGAATATTTTTTGTTGTTGTTTTTTTATTTTGTTTGTTTCGTTTTTCTTTTTTTACATTTAGTTTAAGTGGATCGTTCCCCCTCTCTTTGAATCTGCTTCTCTGTATTTTCTTGCTGAGAAACAGGACCAAGGTCCTCTGAACACAAAAAGGTTATCGCCTCCGGTATTGCATCTGCACGCCACCGTCTTAGTTTTTAGAATAAATCATCTAACAGTGGGCAGAACATCATCTTGGGGGGGACAAAACAAATTAACGATATTGTACAGTGTTTGTGCGTGTGCATGTGAATGGGGAGGGTGGATGGATTCATGAATGAATGAATTAAATAGCAATATATTGTAAAAATAGTAAATATAAGTACGCCTGGAGTGTTAAAAATATATATGATGCAAGGGAGAAATCACTATTGTGTGATCATTGTGTAACCAACAGACCTGAGAAATAAAATTATGAACTGGGATGTGGAGGTTTACCTTTGAGTCAGTACTGTTGGCGTCTAACTGAATTAAAGACCTCAAATAAGAGATACTTTAAATCTTCGTTCTTTGTTGATTTTGCACTTGTTCATGCATTTTAGTCACCGCATCACAACGCAGAGGGCTGGGTAGGACCATTTTTTTAAAACTCAGCAGCAGATGGACATGGCAATTGTGACATCATCAGCTGGTTATTAAATACTCTAGCTGAGGATTTTCAGTATTGCTATTTTGCTGTTTGGATCTGTGAGTGAGAAACTGAAAACGGTGCATGCTCATAATCATCTACCTGTCGATTACAACCCCGATCCAGAAAGGCTGGAATGCTCTTTAAAATGGGAATAACAACAGGTCACATGTTTATAACTGTGTAGCATTCCTAGCTTCTTTTAGTGATCGGCAAACATCTGGGAACTGTGGAGACCAGCTGACCTTTGGGAGAGGAATGGTGTCCTATTCTTGTCTGACAGTCCTCGGTCGCTGCGTCAAATATTTGGTTTCATGATGGTTTCAGATTTTGTTCAGCTGATGAAAGGTCTGGACTGCAGATACCCAGACTCCTCTATGTGAAGTCATGCTGTTGTAATAAAGGTGCAGTATGTGGTTTATCATTAACTTCATGAAGTATAAAAGCCTCTCCCTGAAAAAGACACCT